TGAAAACCTAAGAAACAAATATTATTCATTGTTTATTAATAAGTGGATTAATCACTGTGGTTATAAGGCTCTTTATTTGGTCGCAGAAGTAAAAACACGTACCAGTATGTTTCTCCACTCATGTGATTATATATACGTTGTCTGGTAATTGTCTGGTTCAGAAAGTTTTCACTGAAGCAAATTTTCTCTAAAGACCAACTGCTATGCGGGTTCAGAATGGATTCGTTTAAAACTTGGGTATTCAAGAGTATAATTGAAGAAGAAAATCTAGTGCTAGATTATATCGAAACCTGTTGTGTATCGACCGCTTGTGAGGTTTCTGAATTGACGAGATGTATACTATAAAAGAGTACCTAACAGTACCTGTGAACAGTTAAATAGTACTCACCGCATTTGCATAATAAACGAAAAGGTATTTGGTGAAGCCAAATGCGGTAAAATGATAACTGGTGAGGTCGAAACCCCGGAGAGTGGACTGTATGTAAGGTAGGTAGATTCGAAATATTACGCGGGTTTGGTCTGTGGGATAAGATGAGGACAAAACACTGTGCTTACTTACGGAGGGCCTCGACGGTGGCGCTGGCTCATACGTCAGCTTTTCCTGCAGCAGTCTCTTCCTGATGCCAGCGGTTAAAGATGGCGGTCAGGAAAGGCGTTGTTGATAGCTATCACACACAAAACCTTCTATTTTCGAGGAAATCTGTTCTTTAACTAAGATTGTTTATTAATCTTCACACAATTTTTTATCGGAGTTTAATGCGGAAAAATATAATCACAATAGCTTGCGGCGCGATGACAAATTCGACCATTTCGTTATTTCTTTTCTTGATGCGGTGACAGCCTGCTGACAGAACCATTTCCTTCCGGCCATCCGTCATGTTTTGGCGTTACCAGTATTGTTATGCTCAAGCTATTCTGATGTCTTGTATATAACACAACTAGCAAACGCATAAGAACCAGAACCCTATAGATATATCTTGTTGTTTAAGACAGCCGAAGGTTTTCAAATACCTCACGCTCATTTTCTTTAATATTGTTATTACCAATGCAAAAGAAAAAAAAAAGCGCGAGGCATTTGAAAACCTCAGGCGGCTAGAAATAACAAAATAAAATCGTAAGCGTTAGCGTTTTCCAAAGCATTTCCGTTAGGCGAATGGCCCCCTGAGCATAGCCTCTCTCTTCGACTTGTATTGGTAAATTGACCTTTGCATGCCAAATTGGCATTCATTCATTCATCATTGGATTTCACAGGGTAGGAGATTGGGTTAGTTGAGGCAACAGTACGAGTGTTTTTTTTTAATAACAAGCGTCTATAAGCTGTGGTGGCCGCTTACTTTCAGGCGAGCCATATACTATTGATTGCCACCCTTTTAACGAGAAAAAAAATTTGATGACTGAAGACCCTCTCAATCAAGAATTATATAGATAAATTTAAATAATACATGAGTAAATAAAAGATATTGTTATTTCTTTATAAAAAAAATCTTTAATTCATTAATTTTATGGCATGATTATTTACATGAGTTAAAATCTTTTGACATCAATTTCATTAGTATCTAAAACTTTCTTAAAATTTAATTTTTAACAATACACGCACACATCAATGAGAATGAAATACAGAAAATTTTATATTTATAAAGAAAACACACAAAGAAATAGTTAATGTGTATAAACATTGTAGCATTTAGTTACATAAGTATTTTTCCTTTGGAATTCTGATATCTCTTATCACAGATTACAGAACAAAAGACAGAAGGAAACACGCAAGTGGTTCACAAAGATATTTGTCTCTGTGAACAGTTCAAACATTTTATAATGCGATTCAACTAAGAATAGGACCGACTGGGCGCCATATCTTGACGTCATAGCTGTCAATTCAAACCAAATAGGTAGAGTGAGCAAAAAAAATGTTGCTATTTAATAAAACTTATTTACTAAGATTAAGTGAGACAAAACAGCAGATTTTTTAATAAAATTAATTTGCTAAGGTTGAGAAAGAACACAACCGATTTTTAATAGTATTTCTTTATTAAGACTGTGTGAAAAAAAAACATTAATTACAATCTAGCTCTTCAATTTCGTAATCTCTGGATTACCGCCGGAGAAGTTATGAATAATCATGCAGGCCACATACGAATATGCATCCTATATGTAAACGAAAGTTTTAAATCGAGTATTTGAACGCAACATAAAGTAAAATTTGGTTGACGATTAAGGTTATCAACCATTCATAGCCAAAGCTGAATAAATGAAAAAAAGAACTAATATTAATTATCAACATTTGTTATTGTTTGTCTTAAAATGTTTGGTTTTTATTCTAGAATCAGCCGAGTGCTTAAAAAAGTGTTCTGAGACTTTTTTGCAAACCGTACTTTTCAAGCGACATTTGACAGATGGAGGTCATTGGATTTCCTATTCTTATTTGAATCGCATTATACATAGTTTGAACAAGATGGCACAGTTTTGATAAAAACTTTATATTCACGGGCGTATTGACAACACGATTCAGTGTAGTGCACTGACGCGAGTTTGTATTCGCTTTTGACTTCATATTTGCTTTCGTGGGCAAACTTGCGTATTCCATGCAATCCATCTGTCTTTGCGTATTCCATGTGTTCCATCTGCCTTTTGTTCTGTAATCTGATTCTTTTGTAATCTTTCTTATTTAAGAAGAGTTTGAATTCCACTTTTCTCAGTGAATATTCTCAAACATTTTTTTTATTGGAATTGAATATAGAATAAGTTACACAAAAATCGTGTATAAATATTACACTACCTATACAAATTTCTAGACGCCGTACTTATTAAAAATAAACGGTTTTACGAACCTGTTATTAAAAAAATATAGGAACATAGAAATAAAGTTCATACAACTAAATAAAATATAACTAGAAAAAAAACACGCGGACCAGGCATCAGACGGGACTCGAACCCGCACCTTTCGCTATGTAACTATGCAAATTGACATTCGATTGTGATTTTACAATAAGATTTTAATAAAAAAGAATCGACGCGAACTATATTTCATCTATTTAATTAGAACGATGCCCTACAAATATATAAGTAATGCATTCATACCAGATTTTTGATAATAAATTCAGTAGTAGATACATAGTTAGTCCATTATTATAAGAAAATCGTAAATATTCACATATTAACAAGAACAGAAGAATTAAAGTTATTAACGGGTTGCGACCATGTACCTTGATTTTGTATCTCCTAAATTTCTGCACTGTTGCAAGAGTCATGATCATCGGAGCAACTAAATATCGAAGACTCACAAAACCAAGGTATTTGGTCACAATCCCGTTAATATCAATGATGTTGATCACCATGAAAATATAAAATAACATAAAGAGGAATTAATATTAATAATTGACAATAAATTGAGTAAAAACAAAGCAAGGCAACCGACCTAGTTTACAAGAGTAGATTTACAATATTACCTAAATATACGCTTAAAACACTTAACAATTTCTAGGAAATTTTATAGATTTTCAGTCTTAGTTAGAATCTAGAATCCTAATAGATTATTCGATGAAAATTCTTCGAAACTTAAAGGTAGGTCCAAAAGTGTAATCGGATTCGCGTTATATGCATCACTAGTAATACATTTACATAGTCTTCTTATCGATGATTTACTACCTCAGTAGCATAGCTGAGCGACCTGTTGGCCCTGCACAGCAACACATTAAATTAGTTTTCTTGTTTTTATTTTTTTGTTTGTTGTTATGTTTTTCTATTCTGTTTTGTTTTTAATGTATGCTGTGTGACCACCAATCAATGCTTTCTTTATTTCTTTCTTTTAGTGTTTTATTTATATTTACTCACAAAGTTGTCAAATCACAAAAATGTTTTTTATAGACAAACGAATCCGTGTTATTATATGTTAGAAAAACTGGTAGAAACTAATTTTGTATCCTTGTATCATTATCTTCGGTTTATATTCGATATCCTTATCGTTTTGTAGTCGATAGTTTCGATTTATCGATAGTCTGGGGTTGCACTGGCCTATCGCAAAATATCCCTCATCAACATTTCAGGACCTAACTTTATACAGTTTTAAACCTACTTGAACTAACCTAACAAAGTAAAACAAACAAGTTACTATATATAAATTTCTTTCTCAGATAATTAATCTTAGAATTCTATCTACTAATAATAGCAACTATTCTTTGTTTCACTTTAAAACATTTCGTATAGAAATCTAGTCAAATATATTTAAACAGACCCAATTCACCTTTAGAAAGGAGCAATTTTAATCATTCTTCATTAAACAAAATTATTTCAACGCAAACCTATACCATTAATAAAGCAATGTCTTCTAATAGTTTTACTAAATAAACACTTCTCTTTCCTAGCGTTTAACTAAACATAAAATAATTACATTTTCCTATAATACAAATTAACATGTTACATCTTTGACTTGCATACTTAAAGCTCAAAATTTTTAGGCTGATTTTTTTCAATCTAAGGGCTGATCTTTCAATCACCGGACAAAATGAATTCGTCTAATATCGTAACGTATTGCGGACAAAAAAAATACTTTTTGTTGCGTAATAATTTATTCCATATGTCAGTTTTATCAGAGAATTAAAACGTCGGCCCTCATATAAATTAAAGCGTTAAAAATGGGGTTTTTATTAATAAAACTGCAGACATTTGCCAGTGTCTCTATAAAAAGGTATGTTTTAGAAATAGTAGCTGGATATGAGTTATTTATTCAGTCTAGGTTGTGACGAGCAGAATTTTAAAGTGAAAATGCTGCGCCATCGAAACGTATTGGTAATACCTTATACTGAGAAATATTAGCGAATATAAACTTTGTCTGTATAGGGATGATGACTAATTTTTTTCTTCGTTTATCAGGCAGTTTATCAAAAAGTATTGGACACGTATTTTTTCTTTTTTCACATAATATAAACATTGCAGAGATATATTGATTTCAAAAGTCGCATGACGTCACGTTTTGGTACAATTTTCACTTAAAAGTGACGTCACGAGCTCCTACTCCCAAACTTTGAGGCGCTATAACTTTGTCATTTTTTGGTTGATTGCCCAAAGAAAAAATACGTGTCCATTATTTTTTGATCATCTAACTGACGGACTAAATAGAATTTCGTTTACTGTACCGTCATCACCCCTATTCATATGTCATAAAAGTTTGTCGTTTTATTGTAAGTGTCAGGATCAACATTAGGACGCGTCAACAAATCAATCAAATTGCAAAATATCGTCAGACTAGTTTTATAAACGGGTTTGATTTCTATTTATGTCGGCAACTCTTTATCTTGTATTTTGCTCAATACAACATGGGAAACTGTACACCTTGAATTTTGAGTTACCTGAGAAATTTTATTAGCTAATTCAGACACATTAACTCAATAATTGTGCAATTACGAAAGATTAACAATTTTAATTGTCTTCAATTGATTTATCAGAAGTTATACTTTTAGGAGGTAAATATTTTACAAGAATATTAATTCCATAATATTCATCGTTTCAGGATATGTTTCAGGATATTTTATAAAGGATTTAAATCAATATTTTGTATGGTAGTGAAGTACGCCCACTGTTTATAATTATTGTTTACACTATTTTTATTTATACGATTATTAAAATCTTCAGGTAACTGATAATTCACGGTGTCAATTAGCAATGGCTTTACTACACAAATTCCTTTGACTTTTTTTATTTCTCTGAACTAATTTTGAATACGTAGAAATGAATACTGTCTGCTTTATCTATCTATACGTGAGTACCGGCTTGCCCGTTACCTGTGAAATATGAAATGAAATATTTATAAAAAGTACATGTAATCTACTATTTTATAAAAATAAGTCGGGTTTTCCTTCCTGACGCTATAACTCCAGAACGCACGAACCGATTTCCACGGTTTTGCATTCGTTGGAAAGGTCTCGGGCTCCGTGAGGTTTATAGCAAAGAAAATTCAGGAAAAATTAAAAAAAAAACTTTTAATCACCAAACGAAATGTTACATAAAACGAAGCCATCTGGTGGCGAAACGGAGTTCGCGGGGTTTGCTAGTCTATTGTATATATATATATATATATATATATATACAGGAACAATGAACCTTAAACTAAGAACCTCCAAAAATATAACATTATAACTAAAACTAAAAAAAACCTTAAAATATATAATAACTAAAATACATCACTAAAAGGAGTCCCTTTAGGCAAGGTTCCAAAGATACTGGCAGCGTTCCCCCTTTGAATAGCTAGACTAATTCTTTGTCCGAGGTAGCTGCCAGCTCTTCGGTCTCCTGTGACGTCGACCAACCTTTTTGCTATTTACTTAAAAAGCCTTACAGCGCTAGGACCCCACGGACCAAGGGTCTCGACACCGAATGGGACAGAATCATATTCAGAGCCTAGACCCCTGTATTTGCAAGCCTAAATAAATATTTATTAAAACCTTATGGTTTTAATATACAATGGTTAAAGATACAATGACAATAGTTATCGATAATAACTGCATTAGTTATGAAACTGTGTCGCAGTTATTAACGCCCACCTCCAGAAAACAATTTTTGCTACAATAATTTTAATTTTAATCCTAATTTAATATTAAAGCAGATATAAAATGCGTGTTTGTGTCTTATTTGTGTATATGTATGTGAGGGTGTGTGTGCGTGTGTGTGTATGTGTGTGTAAGAGTATGTATAGCCCAAATTAACCAAATTTACACTATCTGATCAGGCCAAACCCAATAAAGTACCAATGTGAAATAAAATAAGATTAGTTTTATACTTATCGAGGAGCTCGATAGCGCAAGTGGTTAGCGCGTTCGGCTGCGGTCGTTGAAGTTAAGCAACTTTCGCAGTGGTCGGTCATTGGATGGGTGACCAAAAATTTACTATCTCGAGCTCCTCCGTGCTTCGGAAGGCACGTTAAGCCGTTGGTCCCGGCTGCATCTGCAGTCGTTAGCACCCACCAATCCGCACTGGGCCCGCGTGGTCATGGCCCAATCTCCCTATTCCATTCATAGGGAAGGCCTGTGCCCCAGCAGTGGGGACATTAATAGGCTGATGATGATGATGATGATGATTTATACTTATCAATAAAGTCTGAATGCTAATAATAATTTTAATTTATAATAAATTTAATTTATAAAAAAAAATATAATAGCAATTGCCTTTAATTATCACGATGGTGGAACCACCCGATTTGAGTGCAGCTATCAGGAATGCGCTAGTAATTCGGAAACATAGCTCGATTTAACACACACTGCGGGGTATCGAAATATCAGCCCCTAACCCCATACCCCCCGTCTGCACTCAAATACGAAAATACGACGCTTAGTGTACATTTAACGTCCATCGTCGCGATAATTAATGCCGTATCCTGGGGGTCTACTCTCTTTCTACGAAACGAACTTTGGATATTGAAGTTCAAATGAAATTTAGTTTCGTCAATTTAAGGTTACTAGCAAACCAGTGAACCAAATGTTCACCAAAACCTGATTTAAAAAAAAAAAAGTATTTAATTAATTGAGAACTTCGGAGATTTTGTGTGGTTTCGTTTGAAATTCGTGATTTCTCGAAAACCGGAAGTGCTACGTTACTCAAATCTGGTTTGTAGTCTTATCAGACTATTCTTAACTTATAACTTAAACATTCTCTATATCTATCTCTTACGGTTTGGCCGCTGAAACAGCACCACAGACAGACGGACGGACGGACTTGTCTAATAGATAAGAGATACTTGATTTGAACGATAAACTATTGATGTACCTATTGGACCTCTTTTTTAATTCGACTGTAGTAGATTAGAACTATTATTAGATAGTGGTGGAAGATTAAACCTTACTGCAACTGTACTCACAGAACCTTATATGTATGTCCCATTCGACCTCCCTAAAAGATTATATAGAAAGTGCCAATTGGACCTCTTTTATGGGACCCATTGTACCTTATTGACAGTTTTCTAAGAAAAGTACAGTCTTAAGTAAGTCTTTCGGCTATTTCTATAAAATACCTATTCTGCATTAGTTATTACAAAATATAATAGTGTATATTTTCCTTACCAACCAGTAAATAAGAAAAAACAATCTCCGAAACCTAGTTAGTTGTGTTATTTTCGAGTGCACTTTAAGTGTCGCCGCACACGGGCCACACGCCACAGCCACAAACACCCGCCACGAGAAGCTAGAAGCGGCTACTAAAGTGGCTGAAGCGCGCGACAGCGGCCGACTAAGGTAAGGGAGAGAGGGGTGGGGAATCGCGCGAGTGACGTGTGGCGGCGTTTTGTATCGGCGGCCGGTGGCCGGTGCGGGCCACAAGAAGCGAGCAACGACTATTTGTAGCGTGTGGCGGCCACCGGCGTACCGTGTGTGGCGAGTCCATATAAAATGTATGAAAACTACAAGAAATATGCCGGTGGCGGCGTTTTGTGGTTGTGGTCGGTGGCCCGTGTGCGGCGACACTAAGTGTTTTCAGTTCTCACCTTTGGAAGTGATTTGAGTGACTTGAGTGTGTACTTGACTGGACGGCGGGATCACGTACAGCGATCCAGGGGACTGTGAAGGTTTAGGCACCTACAGGGAAAATAAAACAATAATACCAATGAAAAAGTGCAATTGTAACCTCAAGCAACTGTCAGAATGACCAGTAATGGGATGGGTAACCGAAAGCTTTATTATACTTAACGATTGGCAGTGGTAAAAAAGGGGAATGTTTTTTTCATATGATTTTTTTGAATGAATACATGTTAAAATTAAAATGTTGCCAATTTTAAAAATAAATACCGATTTCCTTCGAATATCACTAACTCTAACATTTGGTTACATGAAAGACCAACAGCTTATCTTAATAAACGAGAAATGAATAGCAGCCACAATGGGCCAATTATAGGTCCTCACATCTAGAAATAACTTAAAGTCAAAAATAAACTCCGTGCATTGTCCAATGTAAAAAAAAAATCTTAAATATAGTTTTATAAATGAGGTCTTTATGATGAATAACAGAATAACAAATTACGCACTTGGTAATTATAATCTCCAAAAAACAAACGAGTAATGATACGTCTAATCGATCAATTATCGATTTAAAGTTTTTGTATTTATGCGTTCTCTTTGACCAAAGATATTTTGTCTTCGGACTTAGAAATCAAGATTGTTATTTCGATCTCCTTTACTGAAAAAAAGTAATTTACAAAACCAGTTGAATTAACCGATGCCATAATATTATATATATATATATATAAAAATAGCCAAACTTTATTTACTGATAAATAAATTTCGGTCACTCATATACCAATTGTTCTGTTGTATACATATGTTGATACATCATAATTTCAGTTAATCGAGTTTAGTTTATAACTACTAAACCATTTTGTGATAAGTCGTCAAATTCGATATTAATAATCTGTAACATAACAATGTATTGTTACAATCCAACACATAACGAGGAGCTCGATGGCGCAGATGGTTAGCGCGTTCGGCTGCGATCGTTAAAGTTAAGCAACTTTCGCAGTGGTCGGTCATTGGATGGGTGACCAAAAATTTACTGTCTCCAACTCCTCCGCGCTGCGGAAGGTACGTTAAGCCGTTGGTCCTGTCTGCAGTCACTAGCACCCACCAATCCGCATTGGGCCGCGTGGCGGGTCATGACCCAATTTCCCTATTCCATCCATAGGGAAGGCCTGTGCCCCAGCAGTGGGGACATTAATAGGCTGATGATGATGATGATGATACACAAAATCGTGCGCTCAAAATGTGTCCCTATCAAGAAGTGCTTGAACTTTGGTATAGGAAGATGAGCCATGTTGGATCATGGCGCATCTTCCTATACCAACCACACGAAAGGCATGTGCCCCAGCAGTGCGACATTAAGATAAACATGTAGGAAGGCCAAAGGAAAGATCTTCTTCCGGGCCCGGGCTGGTTGACCCAACCGTTGTTGGTCAGGCACACTATATATGTTGTGTGCCTACAGATTTCGTTAGCGCGATGTATGTATTCTAACCATAGGGAAGGCCTATGCCATAGCAGCGGGAATATTAATAGGCTGATGATGATGAACTTACTTGTGGTTGTGCACCACTGGTGGTTGACGATGAGGACGCCAGTGGACTGGTCACTGGTCGCGAGGACGAAGAAGATGATGGCGATGACCCAGAGTTTACTAAAGAAAAATAAATAGCTATTGAAGTTTATGATAAATTTTATATAAGCTTATATGAATTCGCTCGGATCGCAAAAGAGGCTGGTTTATATCCAACCTGATACCATAATGAATAAAGAAGGTAAAGAAAATAGAGATTGGATACAATAGGGGTGATGACGGGGTACAGTATACGAAATTCTATTTAGTCCGTCAGTTAGGTGATTAAAAAATAATGGACACGTATTTTTTCTTTGGGCTATCAACCAAAAATGACAAAGTTAAAGCGCGTCAAAGTTTGGGAGTAGGGGCTTGTGACGTCACTTTTTAGTGAGTTTTTACTTAAAAGTGTACTAAAACGTGACATCATGCGACTTTTCAAATCAATATATATCTCTGCAATGTTTATATTATGTGAAAAAAGAAAAAAATACGTGTCCAATACTTTTTCATAATCTACCTGATAAACGAAGAAAAAAAAAATAGTCATCATCCCTATTGAGCGTGTGTGACGCGCACTGGCGGCCTGTCGTGTGTGGAAACGTTTCTATTGAAGGCGACAGGGCGCTAGTGTTCACTGAACACACGCGCACTACATGAAGCTTTGCCTCTGTGCTTTATCTACTCTTGTGCTATACCCATAGAGAAACAGGGCCGACACGCGGCCGAGAGGGGAGCAGGCATACACAGCTTTGCCCTCTGTCGAATTGGGCATACAAACGAAATAGGTGTGTGCTGAATTAGGCGATGTACTGTGTCATTGTTTATATGTGAGTAACATAGAATAGAATAATTCTTTATTGCAAAACTGTTACATTTAGTGATACTGCTAGATGTTAGTGCACACAATTGAAATAAACAGTTACCCTAATCGGGCATGCAATAGTTATTTTTACAAAACATTATTATTAAAATATTCATTTAGATTATAAAATGCATTATTTAATAACCATTGCTTCAGGGACCTTGCAAACTTATATTCAGGAAGTGGCGGTAAACTATTGTATATTCGTATGGCAGACATATAATTACTTTTTTTTAAATTGCTGTATTTGATCGAGGTAAATGTAATTTGTCTTCACGTCTCATCGGGGTTATTCTAGCTCTCTTGTCAGAAATCTTTGGTGTGTGTGAGTGTCGTAATTACGGTATTGTTTTTTCGCATGTTCGTTAAACTACATTTATGTACATAAGCCAAATATGGCATGATCATTTGAATGGTATTATATCGCTACGGCTATACCTTTCCATAGTAATGTAACCTTCGTAAGTAGGGTTGCCAACTTTTTTTGTCGAAATAAAGTAAGTACATTGGATATTAAAGGTAGAAAAAAAGTACATTGTGTCCAAAAAAGTACTTTTTATTCCACTTTATTAGTTAGCTTAAAAATATATTTTACGTTACTACTAGCAACTTTTAATAAAACATTTGTGGCTTTATACATACATCATACAAAGGCATACAGCCACGAAAATGTTGAAGGAATTAGCTAAGGGCAACATATTCATACTTTCTATTCGTTTTACGCAAAAAATCTCCTTATCAACCTGTTTTTGTATGTTTTAATCAAATCACATTAAATAAAGTATTTTCGCGTACTTTATTGTTGGTATAAAGTATAGAGTACAATTACCCGAAATAACGTACAATACTGTATAGAAAAGTACGGGTGGCAACCCTATTCGTAAGGTACAGCCTTAGAGTAACACGAGAGTAGGTTTTTTTCTAATTTAAAAATAAACCAATTCAATGCTTCAATAAAAATAATATACTTAATAGATAAGTGTGGCGGCGACATCTACATGCCCTACGTATAATGAACATGGAGGAAATAGTCACTCGCCTGCTTAAGAGATGGCGCTACCGGTGCTGCGTTCACAACTTATGGAAGCCTACATCGCGCAAGAAAAATTCGGAGCCATCACTCAGCTCGGAGGAAGATCTTCCCATTTGGCCTTCCCACACTGATGACCCCGACGTGATCTGAACACGCATATCGCCGCCACATAATCGCATTTTTTTTTTTTGTAAAAGTACGATCGAATTTATATTATCAAACAAATTTGCCGTCTTTTAATATAGTTAAGTACAAGTAAGTAACCATATTTACGATACTCAGTATCGTTATTTCTAAGAAAATCGCGCTCATTAAGCATGTAAGTACGAGTAAGGGAGCATGTCCCTGAAAATGAATAATTTACGATTGTGTTCTGAGAATGTGAAAATTTCCCTCGAAAATAATTGTATTATCTTGGATACCTGCGGTCGGGTAGACTCCGAAGTATCAACATTTATCACATTGTAATAAGTTTCTATTGTAAATTTGATTCAGACGTGTAGGTACTGTGACGTCCGAAACGTTACAGCCTCCTTGTTTAGGTAAACTCTTTGCTTTTGCAATGCCTACGGTTGGCAGTTATATTAAAAAGATAATGTCATGATTTTAAGATTTGAAATGAGGAATCGTCTGTCTTTTGATAGAAGGTTCCATTCAAGATTAGATCTTCAGGCACCAAGAACTTCCTCTCGTATTTAGATAAAAATTCTTTATAATCGCCTGAATGATAAAATAAAATAAATAATTTATCTCTATCAGTATTTTTCAATTAACGTCTACGCTCCCAGGTCCTATCCCTTCTGGGTAGAACTCTATAGTACCTATCTCGTTTATTCCCAAAAGAATTCACTAACTCTTACTGTAGGAATCGTATTTATATCTACTTTGTCGCAATGTTAACAAGATAATTTCGTCTGAATAAACGTTTCTCCCACGTGCATACAATTTGAAGGCATGTCGCAATATAATACTTTTTGACATGCTTTAGTAGTTATGTTTTTATTTATTTTTTAAGCATTTAACTGCTAGATGTTTAAATGTAAATAAAAGTTTACTAGAAAAAAAATCCACGCGGACCGGGCAGCGGACGGGACTCGAACCCGCACCCTTCGCAATCCGGGCGAATGCACTGACCATGATGCTACCACGGCCCTATTGGCCGCGTCGAAATTTTCCTAGCCTTAAGCTGCAAGGCAGCGCCATCTCTTCGCATTGTAGGCAACCCACAATGTCAAATGAACACTTTTTCAAGTATTAAACATTTGAGAGTAGAAATAGCAGTTATAGTTACTTTTTTATTTATTTTTTACGCATTTAACTGCTAGATGTTTAAATCTAAAGAAAAGTTTACAAGAAAAAATCCACGCGGACCAGGCAGCGGACGGGACTCGAACCCGCACCCTTCGCAATCATGTCTAATGTCAAATGAATACTTTTTCAAGTATTAAACTCTTTTGACGTGACAACGTCTTAAATTAGGTTGCGGCTGGGAGTCACTTATGAAAAAGTGTAACGCTCGGTAACGTTACGATGAGTCTCTCGTGTTAAGTTTAAGTTTACACGTACAATGTTTTAGTAAACAAAATATATTTCTATAGTTAAAATTTGTGCAATTCTTATTTTCATTCAATTCCTTGTTCCTATTGTGCAATTTAATTATATTCATATCAATAAATATTCTACCGAGAAAAAGACGTTGTCACGTAAAATCTTCGCCCGTAAAACCGACTTTACAGGCAACCATTTTTTTTAATTGAATTCATTGAATTGAAAGACGAAATAGCAATTATAGTTGTTTTATTTATTTTTTAAGCATTTAACTGCTAGATGTTTAATTTTTTTCTAGTAAACTTTTCTTTATGCTTTAGTAGATTAATGAAATAAATTCATGACAATTTCTCTTCTTGTTTCTCTGTTAGAATATTATGTGTACCTACTTGGTTATTGGGTTTCCATACGCTTAACCCTTTTTTATAGATAGGTCCGACAAATGTGTCACCCTACCGGATGTTAAGTGACGGTGAAGTCCAGACGCGAAGATAGCTGATACAGCAGTTCTACCTGCTACATCAGCCATCCTCACCCTGCCGGCCTGCATGTTGCATCATCACGCCTCTTTTAAGAGCAATTTCACATTTTTTGCAAAAAATCGTGACTATTTCTAATAGAAGTAAACATTAGATTTATTCCTTCTATTGTAAGTTAATGTAGAATATTTGCAAATACTATTTTACTTTTTTTGTATTGATCGCTCTACTGCAGCTAGTTTACGGAATAAACGATAATATGTACATCTTCAAACGCCTCGATTTCCGAATGTTCAATAAATTAGACCAAAATAATTACTATGACATCAGAAGTATCTTTTTGTTGTAACATAATATTTAGAATTTTGATTTTCCATCTCATTAATTAATTCAAAAAGAAACACCTAACCTCCATAATGCGGGTTTACCTCATATTTTGATATTGAATTAAATAGAATTACTATCAAAAACTTTCATAAAACTAATCTACCATCATTGAACTACTGTAACATGTAAATATAATTATTTTATTAATATTTATTTTATAAGACTCGAAACATCACCTGTAAAATGGAATTTAGACTAGTGCAAATCTATCTACGCGCTGATCAGTACGGCAGCGACGCAATTTTGTAAAAGGGCTCTTAAAGGATCCCAGGTTGTAAGAAGGAAGGAACACGTGAGCAGGCAGAGCATGCATGAGCATGTAATTTTTCTTTATGATAGATATAGTTTTAGTTGAATTGAGATTTAGCAAATTTGCTGCAAGTGAGCCTTAATAACAAACGCGTCGCAAACAAATTGACGTACCTGCCAGTTGCAGATTTGAACTCCTCAATGCGTAATAAGGAGGCGGGGCCTTCTGGCTCGTGCAGACTTGCTGGGCGTAAGCTGGAAATAATTGACGATATAAGAAAACGAACCTTATCCGTGACGAAATAGAGACAGATTTACTTGTCATCTGGAATAGCTTATAAGGATACGGTTAAGAATGTATACAGTCGATGTTTTTTGAAAGTGAAACTTCTTTACGCACGCTGGACTTGTGTTAGCGCGTTCGGCTGCGATCGTTAAAGTTAAGCAACTTTCGCAGTGGTCGGCCATTGGATGGGTGACAAAAATCTTCTATCTCGAGTTCCTCTATGCTTCGGAAGGCACGTTAAGCCGCTGGTCCTGGCTGCATCTGCAGTCGTTAGAATCTGAAAATCCGCACTGAGCCCGCGTTGTGGCTATTCCATCCATAGGGAAGGCCTGTGCCCCAGCAGTGGGGACATTAATAGGCCGATTATGATGATGATGAGCGGAGGTTGTGGGTTCGAGGTCCAGTCTGCTGCCTGGATCATGTGCAATCTTTTCTTATAAAATTTTCTTAATATTTCCCACTTTATGCTTTAATCAATTAAGTTGTTACCATTCAGACGCAGACAACCAAGCATATCGTATTTTATCAAATTATTTTATTAACAATCACGTCAAAATATTTAAATGACAAACTTAAACCCGCACCCTTCGCAATCCGGGCGAATGCACTGACCAATTATGCGTCGAAATTCTTCTAGCCATTCCTAAGCTTCAAGGCAGCGCCATCTCCGCGGTCCTTGAGGGCCGCGGTAGCATAATTGGTCAGTGCATTCGCCCGGATTGAGAAGGGTGCGGGTCGAGTCCCGTCTGCTGCCTTTTTTTCTAGTTATATTTTCTTTACATTTAAACATCAAGCAGTTACATGCATAAAATAATAAAAAAAATATATAAACACATTCTTAAAGTTTTTTTTTTTACATATTTTTATTTTAGTGTAGGTATGCAACTGCATATAATTTCGATATAAAACACTCGAGTTTACCCTATTATCGCTAGCGATAAACACACTCACGTGTTTTAATTTCCCATTCTTATATAACAGAAATTATTTTCTTTAATCACCTACGTGTTTATGAACCCCCAAAAATTCGCAGTGGAATAAGGAGAAAGTGAAAACAGAACTGTAGTACCCAGTCGGCAGTTGTACTAATTCTTTGTGCAAACGACTTTAATTTTCAGAATTAAGATCATCCAGTTTGTATTCAAATAAGAACGAATGGAGCATACAACCATTACGTTAGGGTTGCCAGAAGGTCGGGAATCACCTTTTTTTTATTTATACTTTATTGCACAAAAGTATGTACAAGTGGCGGACTTAATGCCATTGCATGCATGCATTCATGCATGCATTCTCTACCAGTCAACCGGAGAATTTTAGTAAAAAAACTTAAGGTAGTGCAAAAAGAATTCATCAAATTACTTATTATATTTTTATATCTATGGAAACAAGATAATATATATATATATATATATATATATATATATATATATATATATATATATATATATATATATATTCATATATATATATATATATATATATATATATATATATATATATTCATATATATATATATATAAACATAAATAAATAATAATATATATATATATATAGAAATAACAATAAATATTTAGATATATACATACAAATCTATATCATATCAGGAGGATGCGGAGGAGGAATCTAATAAATGATGAAGTACGGATTTATAACGCAGGTAAAAAATCTTTTTACAGACGACGATGCCTTTAAGAGGTTTAATCTCACAGTCTTTATAACACATTTGCTCGTATCTTATTGCACCAATTTCAATATCATAATCTATCGCATTACACACGCGTGCAGTAATGTAAACTAAAACGCACGGCTTATTATGTTCCGTCTAAAAACGAACGATACTTTTTTTTAACTTTGGGAGATAAAATATAATATATAGACATTTAATTTTATAATTTCATTTATTTTGACAATAAATTACAACCATGTATCGGTAACAAATTCAAAAAAATATTAATTTACTTTATTAATAACACTGGCTGTTTTTTGTTCCTTTGCCTAAAAAAAGCGTTGATGCGCGCGCATCGCTAATCTGTGAAAAAGTTATTTCTTTTTCTTTTCGCTGTATTGTTTTTATTTGAAAATATTATCAAGTAGTAACGAATTTATTAAGTTGACACCGTCAGAAGTCGAAAAAGGCTACGCTAAGCCTCTTGCCCGAAAAATCCACGGATAGATACTTACAGTCAAGCGTATCAAACTTTCATCTTATGGAAGACAAACAAAGGTGCAAATTCATTTTCAGAAAGTACGTACGTAGGTAGTATTATTTCCACGCAAATGTGTTATAAAACGTCGTATGACTTACATACGCTAACAATATCGCCTCGGCTGTAATTCTCAACTTACCGCACTTGCCTATATCATAACGTACTATTATTCTTTCTTAATATACATGCAAAACCAGTAAATCGACAATACGGTATTATAAAATGAAAAAAAAAATACCTAACTTAGTACTATGCTTTAAAACAAAACAATACTTATTCGTTGCACATAACCACTTATGGATATCAATAGCACTTCAACAAAATAAAAATGAAACTAACATGAAGCAACTTATTATGCTATTAAGTTTAAAATAACCTACGCGGTACAAAGTATGAAGTTCTGAAACTACTTACGAAGATACACCTATAATTTTTATTAAAATAGGACGTGCAATGGGGGTGGAGGATGCAATTTTCCAGACAAGAACACCAAAATTCCAAAATTTAAAATTTTGAATCATGATATTGGTGTCGATTCTGGCATGATTAACTAAACCTAAACTTATATTTGACAACAGTCTACCTTTGTCAAAGGAAGTGTGTTGCTCTGAAGTAGCAATGGGCAGGCCACATCGCTCGAGGATCTGACAACGGTTGGGTAAGAAAAGTCCTCGAATGGCGACCATGTACCGGACGACGCAGCGTGGGGCGGTCCCCAACAAGGTGGACTGACGACATCGTCAAATGTGCTGGGAGCCGCTGGATGCGGATAGCGCAGGACCGCGCATTGTGGCATTCTATGGGGGAGGCCTTTGTCCAGCCAGCAGTGCACGGAGAAAGGCTGATGGATACCTTTGTCATTCTCTACACATAATGAAAAAGAGAGACTGATCTTAAATTTAGTTTTAAGTTTAGAGAATCATACCAGAATCGGCACTGTCGAAGACAGACTCTTTGATTATAAATATCTATATTATGTATGCCACGCCGTCCTACCTCTATTCTTGTCACTCTCTTGTCTGCTTCTTTTATAACTACCTTTCCTTACTGTCTTTTCCTTTTATTCAAGTTTGAGTCCCGGTAGGGGCAGATGTTTGTGTGATGAATACGAGCATTTGTACTCCAGTCATGGATGTTTAATATGTATTTCTATATAAATATACTGATATATATACTGTATATGTATTCTATCCGTTACCTTAGTATCCCATAACACAAGCCTTACAGTGCTTACTTTGGGGCTAGGCTAATTGGTGTGAGTGTTGGTAATATTTATTAATTTCGGTAATATTTGTAGTATAATCCTTTCCCCTAACCGACGTTTCCTTTGTTGTCCTCGACAGGCACCATTAACACTTCTCGGTCTGGCAACCCTAATAGTTACGTATGAACAGTAGGAATTTTAAACTGCACTTATGTATGCGCAACGAAATATTATGGAAGAATATTTTAGTTTTTAAATACGAATGTTCCTGACCTAATTCCGGATAACGATGTTTTCGCTGGTCAAATAGAAAGCGAAACTCTATTTTGTTTGAAAATAAAGTTCATGTTAATAAAAATAATCACACTAATATTATAAAGGCGAAAGTTGTGAGTGTGTATATTTCTGAATTCTTCACGTATAAACGGCTGGAGTGATTTTAATAACATTTTGGTATGGAGTAAGCTGATACCCTGGATTAACACATAGGCTACGTTTTACTGCGAGAAAATATCCCTAATAAACCGCGGGTAACACTGCGGGGCACAGTTAATAATAAATAAATATTTCATCGGTTGTTTGAACGCCAAACGCTAGGTATGTCATTGGTTTGCAAGTCTACTGTAAAAGAGAAACCGGCGTACTGAGAAAACCGGCAAGAAAATCAGCCAGGGCATTATTTTTGCTTTACCCTAGTATCCCGTAACACAAGCCTACAGGGCTTACTTTGGGGCTAGGCTAATTGGTGTGAGTGTTAGAAATATTATTATTATTATATCGGTACGCTTTTCAGTCACGGGTACATGGGGACCAGGTCCTTTTAAGCGTTCATGGGGCCAAAGCCAACATGAAGAGACCATTTTGTACCTTTTTCTAATGAATGAGATGGCTGCATCTATGGATTTTGTTTTTTCAGGGGATATGATACTAAGCTGATACTTACAAACAGGTGCACCACCTCGCAAATAAGGGTTGCCATACGTCGCTGCATATCGGACGTCCACACCACCCGTGAACATTACTCCAGGGTTGGCCATTGGTATCACTGAAACAATCGTAACCATTAGAACTCTGCAAATATACCGGGCACAGCGGATAGCAAGAAACACAACGATTTTTGAAGAGTGGTCACTGTGGATTTTCTGCTCGAAAAGAATACTTTAAAGGGGTAGATGCTAATACAAGTTGGAGCTTCCACCTTCAAGAAGATGATGGAAGAATTCTTCGAGAAAATATCTCTGGGCGATGATGAAAATTAATGAGAGCCAAAGAAACGGCGTGGAAACTGACTTAAACCTACTGCTGTGACTTTAACAACATGTGTCTGTGGCCCGAAAAAAATCTGCTTGAGTTGCGTGAGAAGCCTTGTCAACGTAACATCAATGTATGGACGATGGCATGACGCTTTGTTCTGTCGAGGCTCTGCTTGGGCGCGCGTAACGTACTTTATGTGGCTTATACGTTATGGTGGCTGCTCAAAGCTATCTAATTCACACGCCATGGCACATTCATACTAGTGCTCAGGAGAAGGAATTTCCCTCCCAACCTTCACATAAGCACACTTTCAAAGTTTTATTTTGGTTTTGCTCCAGTGTTAACGTTGTAAATTAATTTCATTATCAAATGTATGGACATGAAATCTATCAAAGAACTCACCATCAGGTCCTACACCAGCCAATCTTCCGCAGCTAGTCTGTCTGTGCAGCGACCCATAGTGGCTGGGATATGATCCATCAGTACTCCTAGTGAGGGACCCGGTTATGGCGTCGCTGGACGGCAGCGGAGGGGCGTAGTCTCTGCTGTAATCCACGTACGGCACGTAGCCGTTACTCTGGCCTTGGGTCTGGAGGCAAAATGTCCAATTAGAATAAGGAAAGGCAATAAAGGGGAGAGAGCCTATTACAAAAAGAAGTTAACGAAATTTGGTGGTCGTGTGAAATGAATATATTTTATAGAGACTGAACATAATTAAAAAATGGTTTGTGGAAATTACTAATTACTGAATGTTACTACTCCCTACAACGACTTATGAGCAATAAACTCAAATAATCTAGGTACTTAGTGCTTAATAATTAATATGTTTTCAAGCTTTTCTGCATTGAGGTTTAAATATTAGCATTCTTATGACGACTTTCAGGCAAAATATACAAATATTTTTTGTAGAAGGCCTTCAGAGTCCAAGCTAAGACGACAATATTTATCTACGATAATGAGAAATGACTTACTTTGAACTGCAAGCCGCTAATGGCTTGATTGAAATCCCCGCTATACCGCTGGTACTGCTTCATGAGTTCATTTTCATATCCTTCTGGCACTGTCACTGGACCGGCCAGCGGTAGTCCCAGGTTCGATGTCAGATGTAATGTTGGGTGCAAGTCCGTTTCTGAACCACCATTAGATATGTCCTTGAAGAAAATAAATGTAGGTAGTTTCGCGCCATGTCTTTTAGCGGTAGTTGAGACAATATAATCTACCACAAACAACAAGAAATTGTATTAACAATTTTAGTTATCTTCCAAAATTACTCCGTGTTTCGGAAGTTGTTCTAGCTGACAATCCGCATTGGGCTCACGTGGTGTATCTTGGATAATTCTCCCTATTCCATCGTTAAGAATGTCCTGCGCTACAACAGTGCGAACCGAATGCTGACCGAATACAGAATTTCAGGTTGTTTTGTCAGAGAGTATACTTCTATTAATCATTGTATGATTGTAACGAGTGCTTAATAGTGTGTCTATGTTATTAGATATTTTTTTGCATTTAACATCTAGTTTTATAATATCCAGGTGCAGGTTCAAGTCCTGTCTGAAAACAGGACCCTGTGGTTTTTTTCTGGTATTTCTTTTTACTGGTGTACATTGTTTATTAAAATAAATCTAAAGTCCACTAATGTCACTGACGTATACTGGCGCTACGGAAGATCAGTGATGTGACCTTATGTTGCTGCGTTTACTGAGTAGGTTACCATTACAATTTTGGTTGTAATAATTTTGTATGCATATGTATTCTATAACCACTGTAATCTACTGTTGTTATAAACAATAAACTTGTTTGATTTGATTTGATAAATAGGCTAATCATGATGGTATTTTAAATACTTACCATATCACAACTTCCCTCCACCTGCCTCAGCTCCAATTTCAGATCGCTAATATTAGAATGCCCATCGTAATCCTTCGACTGGTCAACTGCACACTTTGCCTTCCCGATGTCTGTGATATCAGGTTTCTTGATATCACCGCATTTTGCTTTCCTATGGCACAGCATTATCACCAACATGGTGATGAGAACTAAGACGGCGGCGCAAGAGCACCCAGATACTATAAGTATCAAAGAGTTGGTTCCTGTAATAAACATATTACTTAGATTTCAAGAAACTTTATTTATTTTATTATTTTTACTACAAGAAATTTTATGCAACAAGAATACACTTGTTTTCAATTCTCGTTTTTACTAATTATCCCAAATAATTGAGTAGCTCCCATAAAGTTTTAGAAGGCATCTACTGAATATTCTCTCTTTTTCAAGGCGCTCATTTATTAGGCTTTAAAAGGCTTGTTAAGAGTCCTAAAACTTTTTTTTATAATATGAAGGCCAACCAAATACTCTAATACATTAGGTCAAATTGAGTTCTATTCAAAGTTCCTCATAAAAATGTGACTCTTAGGCGCTCGTGAGCACTGCGGAAAGAGAATACTTTAAGAATGGTGTTTATTACTCAGCCGCAGTTATCTTTACAATAAAAACTTATAATAATAATAATCTTTATTTGCAATCAAATAGTTTGTACAGATACAATGTAAAACGTTTATAACTACATTAGTCAGATACTGTGTCGCAGTTACTAGCGCCCCACCTCGAACATGATAACTAGTAACAATAAACACCAACAATACCAACACTAACATCTATAAAAGCGTCGTTGTGTGCATGTGTGTATGTTTGTGATTGTGTGTGCGTGTGTGTATGTGTGTATGTGTATGTGTGTGTATCTCTTTGTGTATTTTGTAGGGTAAAATAATTTTTACTTAATTAATTTATTGTACAAGAGATTTGACATGTTCATATCGTAGACTAAGTAGCCACTCATTTAAAACAACCACGACCTCTGTGGCCGAGTGGTTTATAAGCCGGGTTTCATGGTGTCGCCGACTCGAGAAGTCCCGGGTTCGAATCCCGGTGGGGGCAGATGTTTGTGTGATGAATACGAGCATTTGTACTCCAGTCATGGATGTTTAATATGTATTTCTATATAAATATACTTATATATGTACATTATATGTATTCTATCCGTTACCCTAGTATCCCATGTGTTATGGGATATAACACAAGCCTTACAGTGCTTACTTTGGGGCTAGGCTAATTGGTGTGACTGTTGGAAATATTTATTATTATTATTTATTTTTACATTCACGGTGTGGTAAACTGTAAATATGTAATTATGTAACTAACTCAACGTTAAAGAAAGTAAGAAATACTTACTGTCCGCAACTAGCATTATCTCCCTACTTTCCATGCCGTAGGTATTGATGACTGTGCAGTTGTAACTACCGAAGTGTTTAGATTCGCTCTTTCTTATAACCAAGGTAGATTTTGTCATGTGATCTGCGAGCGATTCTTCCAAGAAAGCGTATTCCTGGGAAAACAACTGATCGGTTATTTCGCAGAACAATTACGATCGGACATTTTTTTATTTATTTAAACTTTATTGCCAAACATAAGCAAACGGCGGACTTAATGCCATAAGCATACTCTACCAGTCAACCAGTATAATTGTTGGAGACAAAATAGTATGGCGATAGAGCAAAGTTGCTAAAAATTTAATAAAATGAACAATATCAACACAATAAAACTAATAATAATACTTAAATATAAATTGATGCACATATATAAAATACTCATATAACCATACATAAACATACACATATATATATATATATATATATACATATATATATATATATTCTAGCTCTCAGCGAACTTCGTACCGCCATAAAAAAATAGGGGTTGATTGTAAAGGGTTGAAAATTCAGGGTTATTTGTATTTACTAATGCTGTATCATAAAAAAATTAAAAAATAAAATTTTATCTAAAATTGAAAAAAAAAATTTAGGGGTGGTTTACCCTTAACATTGAGGGGGATGAAAAATAGATGTTGTCCGATTCTCAGACCTACCCAATATGTATACAAAATTTCATGAGAATCGGGAAACCCGTTTCTGAGGAGAGACAAACACCGCGACACGAGAATTTTATATATAAGATATATATACATATGCATAACATCTATTCTGTTGACGGTTTATCATTTTATTTAGAAATTTCAAAAGAAATTGTTTTCTCTATTGTCTGAAATTCATGTGTTTTCAAATTGTAGCTATTAGTAAGACCTGTGTTGCAATTGAGATAAATTTTCTATGAGGTGTAATAGTATTTCCACTCCTCCCACTCGTTTACCTCAAAGCACAGGGGAGACAAAGAAAGAAAAGAAAAAAAAATAAAGATAATGTTATAATTATATTGTACTAACTGATATTAAAAAAAATGGCTTAATCTAAATTTTAAGCATTAGAAAGGCTTATCAGGTAAATACAGTAGTTTTTAAAGTTATATCTAATGTAAATCACTTCCTTCTCATTGAACAAATCATTAAGATATCATAAAAATGGATTTGTATAAATACTAGACATTCATAACAAACTATATCTCATATATTTTACCTACTCTGCAGTGGACTGACAATTGAGAGACCACAAAACTAGACTTTTCCAAATACTAAACCTTCACAAGGATTTATCAGGTGGATAGGAGTTCTACGGCTCGTTTGATCGATATTGGTGATGCTGAATATTTTGTTAATTTTTGTTCTCAATGAGTTTTGAAAGTTGAGAAGAAATCCGATTAGGATAGCAGTAACTCCAGAGGGGATATTACTAGGCTGAGACGAAGAATCACCTAAAAAGTGGAGGAAGAGGAGACGGGAAACTTACCTGATTGTTAAACACGTTAATCTCCCTGCCACCGAACGACCACATAATGATATCAGGCTTCGGAACGGAAAAGGACACACATTCCACTCTCACGCTGTCTCCCTCTACACCGTATTGGGTATTGTTCGACATGATTTTAGGAGGACCTGAAAGTCACACAGTATAAAAATATACACAGAAATAATTAAATGCCTATTTATTCTACAATATTAAAACACTTAGTGTCGCCGCACACGGGCCACCGAGCGCAATCACAAAACGCCGCCACCGGCATTTTTCTTGTAGTTTTCATACATTTTGTATGAACTCGAAACACACGGTACGCCGGTGTCCGCCACACGCTACAAATCGTCGTTGCTCGCTTGTTGTGGCCCGCACCGGCCACTGAATGCGCCGATACAAAACGCCGCCACACGTCACTCGCGCGATTGCTCACCCCTCTCTCCCTTACCTTAGTCGGCCGCTTCAGGCTACTTTAGTAGCCGCTTTTAGCTTCTCGTGGCGGCGTTTGCGGCTGTGGGCGTGTGCGGCGACACTTATGCCGCAATTACATTTGGTTGCTATCCCGTATTCTAATATACGAAAGACATTACTCGAATTTGAGCACCTGAAACTGGAATACGGAATACGGGTTGGAAGACGGTGTCGCGTAAACAAAAGAAAATCCACCCGAATTCGGGCGCACTCGATTCGGTTCATTTACACTAAGTCGTTTACCCGAATTCCATGGGCACTCGTATTCGGGCTAGCGGTCAAGTGTAATCGCGCCATTAAAAGATGAGAAGGACAAAGCGATTTTCAACTCGAATTGGAGCGTCAGGGCTCAGAGATGTCTTTGGGCCTTTGATATTTATGATGCGTTACGATTATGGAGCTATCAAAATTCATGCTTGGGACTCTGATTTGGCTTCCCCAATCCCCAATTTTCACATTATAGAAATGTTGAGTATTAAGAAAATGGGATATTAGGACGGCACGCACACGGCAAATTGTCATTTACATACTTTGTATATAACCCAAAACGAGATACCTTAGTTTGACTAAATCAGAAACAATGATCACACATCCGCAAATGAGATTGCAACGGACGCTCGAATTTTTTCTCTCATAAACGCGAACGCAGAATTTACGTCAAACAATGTCAGGTATTCATCAGCGGAACTGTTCCAAACTAACGTCGGAAACTTACAAGTAGCGGAGAAGTTTAAATTACTTTCGAGTTGGGGCATTACAACCACAATGGTGGGTTAATGACGCAAAATGGTCTTGTTGAGAAGACATACTCGTAGCTGTTGTAATATCGCACGCTTCCGTCAGTACCAGCATCGGTTGAACATCGCGAAATTTGAGTAGGAGAAGAAGACTATGGTACTTTTCACACTGTAAGCGAGAAGCGAGTGGAAACTAAAAAGGAGTTGATGATAGGCGGGAATCGAGTGTGTAGTTCCTAGTTTTATCGCTGGGCTATAACCCAGTATGAGAGTACCGACGATTACTCACGCCACTCGCTCCTGGAGGCAGTTTTGAGCAAAAATGCAAAAATGCTCAGCAATAAACCAGTGGAGCGAGTTCTCGCCGGCAGTGTGAAAACTTAGCGATCAACGATTAATAAATGCAATATTTTTACACGGAATGTAGGTATATCTATTAAACATTTATTGAGCGAAAAAATAGCCAATAGTTTGTCGCTTCCCCGCAATTGCCTATCATATTTTTCGATAGGGTGAGAAACAAAAGATAGCTGCCAGTATGAATACACTTCTGCGCTATTAGTGTCGCCCCACATGGGCCATACGCCACAGCCACAAACGCCACCACTAGGAGCTAGAAGCGGCTATTAAAGTGGCTGAAGCGCGGAACAGCGGCCGACTAAGGTAAGGGAGAGAGGGGTGGGGAATCGCGCGAGTGACATGTGGCGGCGTTTTGTATCTACGCATTAGATGGCCGGTGCAGGCCACAAGAAGCGAGCAACGACGATTTGTACGTGTAGCGGTCACCGTCGTACTGTGTGTGGCGAGTCCATATAAAATGTATGAAAACTACAAGAAATATGCCTGTGGCGGCGTTTCGTGGTTGTGGTCGGTGGCCCGTGCGGGGGCACTTAGATCTCCCATACATAGTCTTTTGTTTTTTATACAACTCTTAAAGATATTTTGCAGCAGAAAAGTATGCTGCTCGAGCCATGCTTAATTTGCCGGCCACAACTCAAGTCCTTGGCCTGCCCTTATTGGTCAGTCGTGTATAAACATTTGCTAACATTGCAAGCGGATACAACAGCCGCAACCCTGGCTACAGAAGCAGGCCACCTCTATCTATGAGGCAATTAAAAATGAAAAGTCTGCTATCCGTCGCACAAATACTAAAAGAAAGATAAAACGCGATCATTGCTGATTAGCGAGGACTGCGTTCATACAAATCTCATCACACACGCGAACATCAATTAGTACAGTTATTGGTAATGTTTGTTCACAGATTCGTAAGACTAAAATTCGCATTATCCACGTTTAATCAGGTTGACGTCTCATGCGTTAAGAGTAGGCTGCTTACTGAACAGACACATTCACACTCTAGGTATCACTGATGGTTCCCTATGCAGAGCATACATGGAGGCCGTAGAAACAGTGGCACATGTGCTCTGAGCTCCGAGAGAGACTCTCGGTTCACCGGAATCCATCGCGGATGCCTTGAGAATACTGGGAAGACTGCTCTGCTTTTGGAGGGAGGTGGGCTGGTTGGAGTAATCGGCTCTATGGCTCACGTACAATGGTCCACTTAAGGACTAAATGCCGAAACCATATCCTCTACTATAGAACAGTTGTAAAAATCCCTTTAGCCTCATCGTTTCAAATGTCTGAGAATTCACAAACTTTGCAAGCAAAACAAGATAGAACACTTTAAACATCCGTGATGTATTCAGTGTCAAAGTTGTCCCCGTAAACTGCCTAACGCACAAGAAAACCATTTAAATTTCTCAGCTCGGCCGAAAACAAAATTTGGTCCGCACAAGAATCTCCCCAAGTTGGAAGTGTTTCCGGGTGTCCCCGCTTCAACAATTCGCTTTATTAGGCAGTTGTCCCACCGTCGGCGAGGAAGCGTCTAACTATCGACTATTTTTTTATTTTTCTTATGAAACGTACCTACAATTAATAATAAACATTCAAAATACATACAAGACAGACCAATGACAGTAAAATAACACTACCTTTTGGTCGGTGAGTAAGGTTCCAGGACTCCCAAGGGGATTGGGTCTGGGTAGGCAACGGCGCGAGTAATATTTTTTGTATCCCAAGCGTCTATAGGCTATGGTAGCCCCTTACCATCAGGAGGGCTATACGCTTGTTAGATTTAAAATATCTTTCCGCTCGATTGGAGTGCCCGTCTGGGGAAGTAACCTCCACCTTACAGAATACTATAGTTAAATAACACTACCTTTTGGTGGTATCCCAAGCATCTAAACTAAAATCAGGTGGCCCATATGCTTTTTTGTGCCACCCCGTGCCAGTTTCTATGGAAGGAGATAATTTGTTCTTACGTCCGGTAGGGGCACTACTTAAGTTCCATAGAAATTTTGGCGATGGCGATATGATTACTTTCTCTTTAGATTTGCGTGTTTGGTAACGTGTGCATTTTTGCGTAGGACTGCCTCCGCGAGCGATTGCCGAGAGTTAATGGCCCGTCATACTCGCGCACTTATATCCCAGTGATGGAACTATACTATCGGAACAGCACATTCGATTCCCGCTGCTCGCTAGCTCGTTACTAGTTTCTAACCCCATTCGCTTCTAGTTCATCGTTGGCGGTGGGACACGTGCCTAAAGTTCCTTAACTGTTGGCAACTGACGGGAATGACCTTGCGAACCACCTGACATCTCATTAGCGATTTGACATGGGATAGAAGTCCCTTTATTACTTTTGTAAGTTGTTTGCGTGTGTTTTTCATAATTTTTGAGGTATTAGATCGTCGCTTTTGTGTACCAGACACGATTTTGTTAAACTTGTAACTGTGCGCAATATTTGTCGCTGTTTATCCTAAAATATTTTTTTATTGAAGCATACAACATTTATGTGAATCCTAAATTATGTTTATTTTACTAAAATAAATTTTACTTGATCCTGACAAATATTCAGTATGAGGCAGAAATTGAACCAATATGCTTTACTATCTGGCCTAATGCGCAGGTAATTTGTGCTAGATTTGCCGACGTAGGTATCTAACTTCATCTGGTCAGGCTAGGTTTATGACAATTCAATAAAAATTTTAGCCTAATACCTTGCACGAGTCGACTTCTTCCTTGTAAGATGTTAAATTGGATACTACATTTCACAGTCTATTAACATTGATAAACACAAAATTGAGACAATAATTTCTGCTCACCTCTGACGAATATAATAGCAGGTGCTTCGATATCCTGATGATTTTCAATTGTCGCTCTGCACCAATACTGACCAGCGGTTTGAGGAGTCACTGATATTGTTAGGTTAGGCGATTTTCCTACTCTCTGTGGAAAAATACTCTCATTAGCAATGGGAAGAAGCAGATTACTCCAGTACAAGAAGATAATGTTATGATTGGCTGGAAGAGGCAGAGGTGGTCTCTAACTAAAACCCGGAACGATTTAAACCTCGATCAGTGCAACAAAGAAACTATTTGGGGTTCCGTAACGAGCTGACAGTCCACCCAATGGAAAGTGGTCGCTGCTTCCCATGGACACTTGCAGCACCAAGGGTACCACTCATGCGTTGCCGGCTCTGAAGGAAAAGGTTTACTGGCCTTTTTAAGATCACCATATCATAGTTGGAAGGAAAAACAGTTGAGAGAAGTTGGTTCCAGATCGTCGTCGATCGATTGTTCGTATCGTATGGTGCTAGAACGCTAAGCATCCAGATGGTAGGGGATCTTGATTTATTTTACAAGTAAACTTACAATGACATGATCATCTTCGTATCGCAGCCACAGTATCTTCGGTTGAGGATGCCCCTCCACTTCGCATAGCAAAGTCGCTACGGAGCCCACTTCTGCTTCCACATTCTGAGGTCTCCGCTTAAATGTTGGACCATCTGTTGAATTTATTCTTGTTAGAATCACATCACAATTGTTTAATATTGGCATAATAAGATTCTATCTTAACTTTATATTATAAAGTTGGAAAGTTTGTTTGGTTGAACGCAATCGAAAATCGAACCTGTACCTTGCGCCCTGATACATAAAGTTCCGGGTTCGAATCCCGTCTGCTGCCTGGACCGCGTGGAATTTTCTCTTGTAAAAATTTTGTTCTAAGAAAAAGGTTTGTTCAAGAACAATAATGCAATATGTTGAAATTTCTTAAAGCAGAAAGTATAGAGATCATAAAACAGGCTGTCAGTATGTAGTGTTACAATGCCATGTCGGCGAGTGTGCCCAAACACTGCATGATCCAACTATTAGTTTATTCCGAGTGACCCTTTACTATTTCGGATTGGTTTCATAATTAAAGATTATGTATTACTTTTACTGGTTATTATTTTAAAATCGGTCATTATATTCGTCAAAAGTTTTCTCCCTACTTTGTGAAGGTAACAAGCTCACTACTTAAACACAAACCCTCGAAATACGATCGTAAGATTATTCACGATATTTGAAATTTAAATAATTTACTTACCAAAACTTATTTGTATTGAATATCAACTTGAACAAACAATGCAACAAAATCAGCTTAATTGGGACCCTCGTGACCTCATTCATATTTATGCATTAATACCTTGTATTCAGATTGAAGAAAGCAATTAACGAGTCCGGTAATTGCCACTCAAATTGTTGGAATCAAATGAATTTCACAATTATTTCGTTTCAAATAGGAACTCGAGTTCTACTAAATTATACTGCAGAGTTAACCAGCAGGTCATGTTGACAGCAATGTTTATGTAACTAAAGAAAATAGGTACTCGTATTACTCGAAAAAAAAATGTGTTTAGATATAAAAAAAAAAGAGCGAGACTTACAGTAGTCGCGTATGATGTGTAACATTTGAAACCTCACCTTATATTAGTAAAAAAAGAAATAAAACCTACTACAAAAGGAATAAGCCATTTGAACATTAATTTCTAAAATCAAATATTTCGCGACTTCCTGTTACACACTTCCGTCTCATTTCACGAAATCACCCCCACAAATTGCAGGAAAGCGGGAGAAACACATCAAAAATCAAACAGTTTAAAGCAATAGACAAAATGAGCCCATGTACACAACGTGTGCAATGGATGACTTAAAACATACGAGGTGTGTATAATTAACTCATAATTTATGCTTTCTCATTGTTTCCTTGTTAGTGAATATAAGATCAATGGATACCTTTAAACTATCCTGTAAAAGAAACTCTCAGTATCTTTTTAAGAAAGAACCTTAAAGCAAATCAAAAGTAAGTGTATAGTTATCGGATCGATGTTATACTAACGGTACACCTTATTTAGATTAAGTCGTAATTTATTGAGAAAAGAAATACGTAAAAAGGGGATAATTTTTGTTTTTAGTTTCGTTCAAATATAATAGACAACACTTCCAGTTTGCGTAATTATTAATAGGTTACTGAAAACAAATATATATTTATAACCATATTTGGGTAATAATTAGATACATTCTTAATTTTTACGCGCTTGTCGTTGAAATTAAAAAGAATGCACATTATTTACTTTATTAAGTGAGTTTTTACAATAGGGATGTTAAAATTAAAAGGTAACTTAATTTTAAATTTTTTGTTACATAAGATACTGTTTCACAGCTCTACTGTGTACATGTTTGACTTGTTCACACTCAAGTACCTATTGTATTTAAACACTTATTTCGTGAAGAGGCTTAATCACTCCCTCTTTTTTCACAAAAGAGATTGAAAAACATAATTTGATCTCCATTTCTACAAGCAGTATTAAATTCGTAGTGCCTTTTCATCGAATTTTACGTTTAAATGTATTTTATTTTGCCTAGCTTTTCTTTGTAACGTCGCGTAGCTTTGAAGTAAATACTCCTCCAGCCAACCAATGTTTTCAATATTTTTTGTTCACAAAATCACGGCTGAAGGATCTAAATCCGATGCTTATTACTGGTTTATATTGACTTAATATAAAACAAAATGTACAAATGGTGCCATCATATAATAAATTGTTTAATATATTTGAAAAAAAAATTGTGTGTGTCAGCTCCGATGAACGACTGGAGTTTACTCCTTAAGTTCGATAGTCTAACCAGACGCAAAAATAGTTTATTTAACTTAAAAAAGATTGATACTGTATGAAAGGGTAAATTAACAAATTAATGAAAATAATATACATATATAAATATATATTTATTCATTTTATATACATTTATTATAACTAATCGAAGAAATATTTTACATTAAACTTTTTACAATAGTCAATTTCAGATGTGCATAAAAATATCATTAGGAATGTTGATAAATTATCTAATTATTAATAATAATTAGATCATTTATCAACATTCCTAATGATATTTTTATGCTATTATATTTTTTAAATATTAATTAAATCGACATTGTCTGCATTATTAATTACAGTGACAAGTGGTTTATGGTAAGTAAAATAAAACACAGGGACGTTCGTAGATACGTGGTTCACGAATCTTGAAAATACCGCATCAATGGTTGTACCATACCTCGTTGTCCCCATTGCTCTATCAGAAACAATATCTAAATTCAGTTCGGATTAAAAAAAATATTAATGTCAATCCGTCATCTTTGTTTGTCAAAGTTGCGCGATATAGGATGCGCACCAAAAACGTAACGAGGTCATTCATCGATAGATTTTACTCCTCACATTTTTCTCATACCGGGCCCCTTATAAAACTAAACTTCAAAATATCGTTCATATAATAATCACACTAATATTATAAAGGCAAAAGTTTGTTTGTTACTTCTTCACGTCGAAACGGCTGGAGCGATTTTAATAAAATTTGGTATGGAGTTAGCTGACACCCTGGATTAATACAAAGGCTACGTTTAACTGCAGGGAAATATCCTTAATAAGCCGTGGGTAACAGCTAGTTTTTACATAAAAATGATTTTCTCTCGAGTGCATAGTAATTTTAGTCATTAAATCTTATTTTTAAATATTTTACTGTGATATCAATCAATTCATGACATCAATCCAACTTGCACTCGTTATAGCTAAACAACTTTCGCAGTGGTCGGTCATTGGTTGGGTGACCAGAAATTTATTATCTCGAGCTCCTCTGAGCCGTTGGTCCCGGCCGCACCTGTAGTCTTTAGCACCCACCAATCTGTACTGGGCTTGTGTGGTGGGTCATGGCCCAATCTCCCTATTCCACCCAAAGGCCAGGCCCAGCAGTGGGGAGATTAACGGGTCTATAGTGAATTGTTTCACATATTTGAATTCGGTGTTTTTTCGTGTTATTTGGTTTCAATACAGTTTACAAGTGTTAATTTTCGATCTCCGTGGTTTGTATGCCGGGTTACATGGTGTCGCCGACTCGATTGGTCCCGGGTTCGAATCCCGGTGGGGGGCAGATGTTTGTGTGATGAATACACAAGCCTTACAGTGCTTACTTTGGGGCTAGGCTAATTGGTGTGAGTGTTGGAAACAATTATTTATTTATTTATTATTATTTTTAATCTCGTCCAAATGTAGCTTTGTTATGTTCTAGGTGGTTACAGTATTAGGGTCGCCGCACACGGGCCACACGCGACAGCCACAAACGCCGGCACGAGAAGCTAAAGAAGGCTACAAAAGTAGCTGAAGTGCGCGAAAGCCGCTTGTGGCCGGTGGTCAACACTTGCCGTCGGTGGCTGCTACTTTTTCTAACAAATGCGTGCAGTATCATAATGGACTCTGTCGAAGAAGGTTTGAAGGTGGGGAATCGCGCGAGTGGCGTGTGGCAGTGTTTTGTATCGGCAGATTGGTGGCCGTTGCGGGCCACAAGAAGCGAGCAACGACAATTTATAGCGTGTGGCGGCCACCGGCGTTAACCGTGTGCAGCGAGTTCATTTAAAATGTATGAAAACTACAGGAAATATGCCGGTGGCGGCGTTTTGTGGTCCGTGTGCGTCGACCCTTAGAGTTTCTTGTAACCGTCAGCAACCCCACGACATTTAGCGCGGCCTTTAGAAGTAAAACAATAGGATTTGGGACATTGTGAATGTTAATCTCGGTTTATTGTTGCCAGCGTTCATAATAGGGTTAAACCATTTTATGACAGCACTGGCTGTTGCACGCGGCTTTTCCTGCCATCTATTTTCTATATGTGTACTTTATTCTATTTCATATACTTCTTTATATACAACATAATATACTTTTATGTTATATATTTCGAGTGGGTTTTATTAAAAATTTATGTAAATGATGTTATTTTTATAGTTTTCTGACCCAAAACAAAAAGGTTCCCAATAGGGATGTCGAAAGTTGAAAAAAATATCGATATTTTAAAAAATATCATTATTGGCTTCGATATATCGCGAAAAAACATCGATATATCGATATATCGGACCAATTTCCCTAAAAATATCGTACAGTAGCTCACGAAATATGACACGCGGAATAATAATGGAACGAAAATTATCTACCTAAAAATAGACCCTATTTTCGAATGATGACATAGACAATAAATACAGCACAGATCATAGATATGTTGAATATCATTAATCTGAGATCCAGTTACGATTTTTCCATGATACGAATTTAGTTAGATCGTGATATGCAGCTAATAATTAGAAAAATATCGTTTTTGATACGAATTTCGATATTAGTTATTTTGTATCGATGTATCGATATATCGAATCAAAATATATCGGCAAAAAATATCGATATATTTTCAACAAGCCTAGTTCCCAAAACTCCGAGAAGTAATAAAAAATATAACAAGGGATTATTGAAGGAAAATCTTCGTAATCCTGCCACAATACGACAAATAAAGACTTCACCCTTTGTTTTATTTATACGCCTAGATAAAGCAATCAAAATAATAATATTCTACCTACTGTACCACGGCGAGTGTTCTGAGGAGTTATTCTATCTTATCCCTAAATCACCTTTTCTTCAGAGGACCACGCGCGCTGACCTACGTTGCCACCGACTTACTGTGGCCACTATTCCTACACGAACAAAGAAATTTGGTGACTCATTTCTTTGTCGTACTATTCGTAAGTGGAATTCTTTGCGCGCGCACTTGTCTTTTAAGAGAGGCGTGAAGAAGCATTTTTGCAGGCCGGCAAGGTGAGGATGGTTAGTTTGGCAGTTTGTAACTGCTGTACCAGCTATCTTCGCGTTTGGACTTTATCATCACTTAACATCAGGTGGGGTAGAGTGAGCTGCCTACCTGACTTTAAAAAAAAACATACACACACACACACACACAAAGATAACATCTCATGATTCGCGCAATGTATGCGTAGCGACGAGTATTTTATCTACCATATGTGGTACATATTTTTTGTGCGTGCAGTTAAAAGGTATCTAGGATATAAAATAATTAAATATCACCCCTATCAAAAATTATTTAGATTGTTTTAAACTTTCATGGTCACTTACATTATAGTAATATAAGTTATTTACGGGAGCGAGTTTCCGATATTTCGGCACTGTTACTCCGTGATCATGGCGCTTGCAACAGTGCCGAAATATCGGAAACTCGCTAAAAACAAGGTACATGGTAACAATCCCGTAAATAACTTATATTACTATAATTATTTAGATTTTTTAACTGAAACAAACAAGATAATGTAAACAAGACAAGAAATAACAGATGATTTAAAAAATCAGGCATGCAATTTTCTAACGTATGGGATAGGAACCATAAAGTAATAATTTTATCTTTATAATGTCTTAGAAACTCTGCTGAGATCATTGAGCATTGTGCCAAGGTCCTCCAGGGATTCTGCCATGACCACGATATTATCTGCAAATCGAAGGTGAGTGATGTATTCGCCGTTGATATTGATGCCGAGTCCGGTCCATTCCAGAAGCTTGAAGACGTCTTCCAATGCAGCGGTGAACAGTTTCGGGGAAAGTCTTCCAATGCAGCGGTGAAAATTACGTCCCCCTGTCTGACACCCTTCTGCAATGGAATCGGTTTCGTACTTCTCTCCTGGATTCGGACTGACATAGTGGCGTTTCTATACAACCCGCTGGATGCGGATAGCGCAGGACCGCGCATTGTGGCGTTCTATGGGGGAGGCCTATGTCCAGCAGTGGACGGAGAAAGGCTGATGGATGGATGGATGGAGTATGTTAGACATAATAATTAAGCAATCTTAAATACTCATTAACCTATATGACATGTTATGAAGCCTACCTTATTAAGTCTAACCTATATAACCTTGCTTTCGGTTTTAGATAGAAGTTTTATATCGAACGAGCTTCTGCCCGCAGTTTCGCTCGCGTTAGATTTGATTTTGAGTGAATGAAATAATATCAAATTCGGCGAATCAAATAAATAGGTACTGTACAAAACTTCTTTATATACAATATTCTCCTGATTATTATTTTTTTGAAAAACCCTGAAACAGGTTTTTGCTTGTTTAGTTGTATGATTTATCTTGCAATTTTGGTGCTCCGTACAAACTTTAAATCCCCGTTTTACTCATGTAGGTGCGTTTTGGAAAATCCTTTGCTGGCGCACCCCTACAACACAATTGTGAATCTAAACGATTTCCGCCCATCTCAACAACAATCCTAACTCATACTTAACAACAGGTGATGAGTAGTTATTTTCCGCGCCTTATGTAAAGAAAGAGGTACTCACATGCGACTTCTAGCGTTTTGGTGTCAGCACTCTTCCCTATCACGTTGTGTACTTCACACTTCACCGTTGCTTCGTTGTATTGCCTTGAAACATTCCGTATTATCTGAAACAAAACATAAATTCATTATAATATATGTTTACTACAGGGTGAGAGCAATATAGCAATATGTAAAACCTAGCACGAAATATGCTGAGTATACTTCGCTATCTTTTTCATTGATAGTACTTTTCATAAACGCTGTATGTTGTTGTGTGTCTCCTCTGATTGAAATTTATTTGATGCCTATGTTGTATGCTTTCATCCTTCCACTCAACTTCTCCCTATCACCCGTGAACGCATCATTTTTTCTTATTTTATTGATACCTTATTCACACAATCTTTCCGTTTTTGTGGTCTTCCCAAATATTACCCATCTTCTTCATCGAGCAACTTCTTTCTTTCCACTCGCACATATCTATCTGATTCTTCTCGACTCCGCTACATAAAATATTATTTCTTCTATATTTTACAGTCCAGCTCTCCAATCCATACATGACGCTTGGTCTCATCATATATTTCTAATGTTTTCCTACTTTGCCTTTTAAGAGTCATCTGTGTATTAAGATACCATTTAATGGGTAATAGTATTTATTTGACCTGTTACTATTTCAACCATCCTGATTTGAACCAATCAGCATCCTTTATCCTTGCATGATTTACCCAAAATATCGAAAATTTGAACTGGCAAATGACATGGTAAAAAAAGAGCGCAAAAGAGAATCTTCAATTAAGGACTTACACATAAGGAGTGCGTAATTCATACGACTTGTAATTGTAACAAGCATCCGGCTGGCTTAACTTGGACTTTATTAATTCTATACGCGGCATTTGCATGTCTGCTCCGGAAAATGTAGCTATAAGGGGAATTCTGAAATTTCTTCTTGGCGCAAGGCGCACCTGCAATATGCATTTTTCATTAGCCATGTACGTAAGTTTCCGAAATGGTGTTGGGGCTGTGCTTTTTGGACTCGGTAATAAGGCTCTTTTCGTGTTGACTACTTAATGTAGTACCACTATAGAGTTTCTTGAGGAACTAAAAACGTAGCATCAGTAAATATAACTTGAGGTTGTGATACTTTTGCAATGGGCGGAAACAGGATGAACGACCAAAGACTTATTGGCGCTGAGAAAGGAGCCGACATAGGCTTAAGCACGAAAGAGAAAGTTCTTGTTTCGAGTAACGAATTCAGAAAATGATTTACTTAGGTCATATTTTCGCAAAAAAATATACATAGGTTAACATTAATGAAATACAACCGTACCTGATCAGTCAGACATTACCATACATTAATACATTCTAACAATGAACTCTGGATTTTAGTTTTAATTTTTTAGGCCTACGCCGTGAGACAGCTGAAAAACGAACAACACATAAATGTATAATGTTCTATCCCTCAGAGACAAAACATGTTCGTTCAGAAGTTTTGAGGACACGAATTAATAGGACTAATTATTCATACTGTCTAAAATTAACCCAACATTATTTCGCAACTCTTTACTAAAAACAAATGTGTTTTTACCATGAACTTGAAACCAGTTATGTGTTTCTGCGAATTATTCAGGGATCAATATTTTGTTTTACAAACCCAATTTTAAATGCAAATATACTATGAAATTTGATGGTTACAAACTCGTAAAGACCTCAGATAAATATTAACTTGAAAAAACAACATTTAATCATTATTTCTTAGTGTAATAATACTCAGAAACTCTATATTATCCATCAATTTGTATCTGAAATTAATATTAATAATTCTAATGAATCGGCAAAACCTCATGCCCATCCTAGTTCCAATTAATCAAAGATCAGTGGATTGTTACGATATTATATTTTCTCGTCATCTTTTTATTTAGATGTCAACTCATTATGCATACAACTTTTTTATTCATATCATTAATCGCATCATCTGTACTTTTAACTTTCCTATTTTCCACTTTACATAGTATTTCATTTGTTTAAATGAATTTATAGCCTAATATCATACATTTCTTATCAGCCAAATTCATCGCTTTTCCTATAACACCCGTTTCATGTATCGATGAAACGTTATCAGTCGCGACAAACACCGATTCGTGTCAAAGCCGTGTGTAACATAATAATATTCTCGGAACTGATTACAACAAATAGTATGTTGTTGGAACTATGTTAAATGATTAATATTGTTCAGACACGCACGACTTAGCTTAAAATGGTAATATAATTCCTGAACTTGATCCAAGAGAGACTGTAGATGGAATTAAGGTGGTTGTGTATCATGAGACCACATTAATCTTGCGTCAGTATGTTACTACAAATGTGGTGTGAAGATTTAGCTTGAAATTTGACTAGGCTCGCTGTCGTGAAACTATTGGATTGTAATGTTATTTTAATAAACGAGTGGATAGCAAAATTCTTGGAGTTGCCGATGATCCTTTAATATTTAGCCATATCGGATGCATATTTACCCAAAGTTGTTTTTTGGCTGACAAATTATGGAAGCTGCTTCTTAGGATACTGTTATTAAAAATGAAATCTTGGGATTCCCGGATCGCATAAATAATCGAATGTATGTTATAGTGATGTAACGAATGTAATTTTTTGAACATTCACGAATGCGAATTTGAATGCGAATATCTGATACTGACATTCGCGAATGCTAATATTTGGTTTTTGTTCACAATTGGCGACAATTTTCTATGGCACGGTGGCAGTCTCATTCGAATTGCCGAGTTGATATGCACTTATCCGTCTTAAGTTCATTCCGCTTGCGCCGGTCTTCTCGTAAACAAAACAAGTGAATTTTGAAGTTAGAGTTTGGATAGTGATTTATTAACATGGGTTAATCAAATTCTAATGAAATAGTGATTTATTTCACACTTTGCGATGCTGAACGAGCTAAATGCAAGCTTTGTAACAATGAATATTCAATTGAAGGCAATTTGTCAAAAAAATGATTATTATAACATTATTTTTTTTAAAAAAGAATTTGATTTTGTTTGTTCAAATTGCATTATTTATTTTGTTTTATTAAGTTCTAACAAAAATTAAATTGTTAAACTTCATTTCTCAAAGTAAAGAATATAATTAAATAATTCTAAATGCTAAAGTCAAGACTAATAATGTGATTACGAGTTTAAGTTAATTTTTCTTGCATTGAAAAATATAAGAAATGAATGGATTTTTATTTTATGAACATAATATTATCTAACAATTGATTTTTTTTTTCTAATATTCATATTCGCAAAACATTCGCAGAGATTTTGCGAATGCGAATGTGAATATGCAGAAATATGCGAATGTCCGCGAATGCGAATGCGAATATTCGTTACATCACTAGTAAGTTCACTTAAAATAAAATTTTGTGTGTATGTAAGAGAAATGGTGGTGGTTATAAAGAAAACATTATTGATTTTTTTATGCTATACGCACAGGACATCATTTGTGTGAAACTGGGTTTATAAGATCTCACGGAGTATATACACTGAAATTTGAATTTCCCGGAATCACAGGACTTTTTCGATAAAAAAGTGCTTTCCATTTTAAATTGGGATGTTGGCTATAGACAACATCCCAATTTTAGGTTAGTATGCATCCGATTATCCGATCTATAGTTATAACATACACTTACCAGCTCACTCTTATCTCCAGTAATCTGTTCGTTGTTCACGTACCACTTGTAAGTTAGGTTGTTCGGGTTCGCAGTAGCTTGGCAGCCTGAAAGCAACAACATTCTTAAAACAAAAGCTAGAGAGGCAGGGCATAGCGGATTTTACACTCGGATTCGAGCTCCCGTCTGGGGAAGAAACTTCCACCTTAGAAGAAGAAGAAGAAAAAGAAAAAGAAGAAGAGGAAGAAGAACAAGAAAGAAATTTTATTAGCCTTAAACACAATATTATTTACATAAATAAAACAAACCAAGATAGACCAACTAGGACCCTGCCTCAGCTTAATACTACAGCAACACCAGGGATGCTGCAGCGCTGATTATTCTGGAAGAGCTTAAGGATACCACTGTAAATAACACTACCTTTTGGTGGTTTTGTGTTTCTGTCGGTGAGTCAGGTTCCAAGAATCCACGGGGAAAAGAATCGGGTCAGGGTAGGCAATGGCGCGAATGATATTTTTTGTATCGCAAGCGTCTATAGGCTATGGTGGCAGGTTACCATCAGGAGGGCCATACGCTTGTAACATTTAAAAAATCGTTCCGGTCGAAATGGAGCGCCTTTTGAGGAAGGAACCTCCACCTTACAGAATACCACAGTAAAATAACACTATCTATTGGTGATATCCAAGATTCCACGGGGAAAAGGATTGGGTCAGGGTAGGCATCGGCGCGTCTGATATTTTTTGTATCGCAAGCGTCTATAGGCTATGGTCACGGTAATATTATCTATATAGTATTGTGACTCAGCCCTGTCCTTGAAATAACTGCCTACGGCCGAGTCCCACATACCTTCTTCTCGCTCCCCTAGTGGTTGAAGGATGCGTAAGGCATTTCCCAGACACAAAAAAAAGGGTAGGCAACGGCGCGAGTGATATTATCCGGTTGCCGGTTATCATCATGGTTCCAAGATTCCACAGGCGAGGGTTTGGGTCAGGGTAGGCAATGGCGCGAGTGATATTTTTTGTATCGCAAGCGTCTGTAGGCTATGGTGGCCGCGCACCATCAGGCCATACGCTTGTAACATTACGAAAACCGTTCCACTCGAATTGGAGCACCTTTTGGGGAAGTAGCCTCCACCTTACAGAATACAACAGTAAAATAACACTACCTATTGGTAGTTTTGTGTTTCTGTAGGTGAGTAAGGTTCCAAGAATCCACGGGGCAAGGGGCTGGGTCAGGGTAGGCAACGGCACCTGCGGGTGCGCGGCCAATCGGAGACGGGTTCCGCGACCACACCTGCCCTCTCGGCACGCACTAGGGGGACCGCGGTCCTCATAGTGCGTGTCGGGTGACGTTGCAGGAGTATTGTCTGGTTTTTAGTGACCCTGTTCAGGGCGTAGGTAGGGCCCTGTTCACATCAGCGAGCTCCAGGACTGGCTGAAGGGGACAGGGAGGAGTCCCACATACCTTCTTCTCGCTCACTTAGTGGTTAAAGGATGCGTAAGGCATTTCCCAGACACAAAACAGTGATATTATCCAGTTGCCGGTTTTCATCATGAGGGCCATACGTTTGTAACATTTGCAAAAATCGTTGCCTTAAGGCTTAGGGCTTTAGGCTTCGTTAGTACCGGACTCCAATGTATAAGTAAGCAACAATTATCCGGTAACAATATTGGCTAACCGGGAAAAGACTATACAGATCCTCTCAATGGTTTTATAATTTATCTCTCGCGGTCGGAATGAGTAATTTTAAATGGCCCCACCTGTTTGATATATGGGTGATTAAATCCAACGTTTATTGTGTGGTCGGTAATAAAGTGGCACGGGTGCAGGTGCAAAAATTTGTGAAATTGCGTTTTGCCTCTGGTACATTGGTTGTGGTATATTGATTTGCTACAAGGGTATGTTCAGTTACATCGATTTTGGGGTTTGCGTTGAAGGTTTTAAGGTTTGAAATTGTCTGTGAAAATTTTCGATTTGATTTTTAAATATCTTCTTGAAAGTTTTAAGCATGGACACTCGACGACACCACTCCGGCCAGGTTTCAGACGGGATTCGCACCCGCATCCTCCACTATCCAAACGGTTTTACCAATTATGCTATGGAGGCTGTAATCAAATCAAATCAAATCCAAATTGGGTCGGATAGAAATCGTATGTTCGAATCCCGTCTGAAAGCTTGACCGATATTCTAGTAAAATTTTCTTTAAAAAACACCTATTTTAATTTTGTAGTTGCACACCCCCTCTTGAATTGAATTTCGTCTCTCCATCCTATGGTTGTCTGGAAGAAATAGCTACATAGCCATAAGACCGCCAATTGTTCACCTTTTTAAATTATTGTCCTAATTTTGTATTTTATAATGTGGTGTGTACAATAAAGAATTATCTATCTATCTATCTATTAAGCAGGTTAATTCTTAAAATAAAAATAAAAGAATCACCAAATTCTTTGGCTAAATTATTTACAAAGCACCTGATAGTTTGATATTTTAATAAGTGTTTATTAATTTATATATATATATATATATATATATATATATATATATATATATATATATATATATATATATATATATTATAATCTTATTAAGTATATACCTTAACAGCCTTGCAATCATTATAAGTAAGTATCTCATTAGCGATATTATGAAAACGGATAAGGTTTCTACGAAATTTCCATAATGAAATCTTCATCTAAAAATAATCTTTATAACAAACGCGTTAAAGTTACAAATACATCACAGTGGATATTATGTTTAATTTCTTAGAGAAATGTGAAATTTCTACTTATCTCTTTAAAATATATTGTTACAAACGCTCTCGAACCAAAACCCCGCAACGTGAATAATCTCGATAAAAGTCGAATGGTGCAGTTCATTGTAATATAAGCTTTATGCAGTGCAGAGTAAAGTGGAAAGTGCAACGACATCTGCACTTGTTTACAACTCATGCGCGTTATCTACGCATAAGTAGATACGTGTGCTATACAGGGCGTCCCACGGCTACCTCACACGGAGGGAAAGTATATTAAATATTGAAGATGGGATATTTTACTGAAAGAAGACATCATTTTATTTGTAATAATAACTAGAACTGCATTCACAGATTTTTAAAAAATCGCCTGCTAGAACTGGGAATCGAACTCGTGAAAATAGGGGAAAAAACAAGACATATTTTATGACAACCATCGAAACGGTTAATCATAAGGATTATTTTTTACTGAACAACATAGCATTTTAAATGAAATAAAAGTCATTAAATCTAACATTTTACTTAAAATTATTTAACACAAACTAATATAAAAACGAAACGGTGCAAGAAAAAAAAAATATCAAATGTCAAAAAGTCAAAAGATCTCTGAATTAAACTGGAATTTTCTGGAATGCGTCGATAGGTGTATATAGGCGCGATCGGCGCCGCGCAGTAGACAGCACAAAGTACCTTATTATAACCGGAAGTAGACAGTTTAGTTTCAAAGCGATGACAATAGAGTTTCATTAGCGATTTCAGAACGAAAACAAAGGCGATCAAAGTGCAAGTAAGGTGTTCAAGTGCGATTGTTTAAATACTTATATAATGTACATTCTCTTTAAGAAATAACTGTGTGAATTGTGTACATATAATTACGAACCCCATCCCGACACGTAACAATACTTACTCATAACCAGAGTGTCACTCTCTTGAATGCGTCCTTTTATCATACCAGTCTTGAGAATTAATCGAACTTTCGGCGCATATAATATCTGTAACAAAGAAAATTATAGTTATAATTTTATTATTTTTAAAGCATATAACTGCTTGATGTTTAAATCTAAAGAAAATATAACTAGAAAAAATCCACGCGGACCAGGCAGCAGACAGGACTCGTACCCGCACCTTTCGCAATCCGGGCGAATGCACTGACAAATTATGCTACCGCGGCCCTCACGATCCGCGTCGAAATTCTTCTAGCCATTCTTAAGCTACAAGGCAGCGCCATTTCTTCGCATTATAGGTAACCCACAATTAACCTTCCATTGTTCTTCTTGCTGCTGGGGAACAGGTTATCCCTTTTTTCTTGTTAACGCAGGCAAAACCTCTGTTTACAGACCACGGCGCCTTTAAGAGGCACACCGCCAAACGGACCTTACACCTGGCTCCCGCAAGCTTTACGGGCCCCCGCAGTGACTGCCCACTGAGGACCCCGTAACTCTTACGGGCGCTTTATGGCATAACTAGCTGTGCCCCGCGGTGTTACCCGCGGTTTAATAGGGATATTTTCCCGCAGTAAAACCAAGCCTATGTGTTAATCCAGGGTGTCAGCTAACTCCATACCAAATTTTATAAAAAACGCTCTAGCCGTTTAGACGTGAAGAAGGAACAAACATACACACTCACATACGCACAAACTTTCGCCTTTATAATATTAGTGTGATGTGATGACTAGCTGTGCCCCGCGGTGTTACCCGCGGTTGAATAGGGATATTTTCCCGCAGTAAAACCAAGCGTATGTGTTAATCCAGTGTGTCAGCTAACTCCATACCAAATTTTATAAAAAAACGCTCTAGCCGTTTAGACGTGAAGAAGTAACAAACATACACACTCACATACTCACAAACTTTCGCCTTTATAATATTAGTGTGATATCCGCTTAAAACCCTGCGAATACTACCCTCTAAGCTGCCTAGTGCGAAGCCACGTGATCCCTGTTTAGGTATTCTTCCGCGTCTCCGCACCTAGCAGCCTCCCGGACTAGCCGGGGCTCCACGAACAGGTTATCCCTAAGGATTTAATTATGATCATATTTGGAAATGCTTAGCCTGCTCGCGTGTTCTTTTCTTCCATTAACCCGAGATCCTTTAAAAGACGCGTGAAAAAGCAATGTGCAGGCCGTCAAGGGTAGGATGGCTGGTCTGGCAGGTAGAACTGCTGTACCAGCTAGCTTCGCATCTGGACTCTATCGCCATTTAACATTAGTACTCCTAGCACGAACCAATATCGAATTCGAATCGTTTGCGAGTCTGAAATGTCAATGTAAAATTTTGTAAAGAAACTTGAACAGCAGCGCCACAAAGTACGTAACTAGAACTAAAAATCAATACATATTTGACAGTGACATTTCGTACTCGCATTCGACACGAATTCGATATTGGTTCGTGCTAAGGGTACAGGTAAGGGGGAGTCATCTGTGGGATCTATTACTTAAAAAAAGCGTATGCGTCTCGGGACGCACGACAGAAGTGATCATCATCATCATCATCAGCCTATTAAATGTCCCCACTGCGGGGGCACATGCCTTCCCTATAGATGGAATAGGGAGATTAGGCCATGCCCCACCACGTGGGCCCAGTGCGCATTGGAGCGTGCTAACAACTGCAGATGCAGGTGGGACCAACGGCTTAACGTGCCTTCCGAAGCACGGATGAACTCGAGATTGAAGATTTTTGGTCACCCATCCAATGACCGACCACTACGAAAGTTGCTTAACTTCAACGATCGCAGCCGAACGCGCTTACCACGCGCACCATCGAGCTCCTCACAACAGAAGTGATAACTTAAACTAATCTTAGCAGTGCTGCGGGTTAGAGTGAGAGAGAAGGAGCCAGCCTACCGCTGCCGTATGCGTGAGAGGCAGGGAAGCCAGACACACTGGCGCCGTAACGCGTTACGTAACATCATTTATCACATCAAAAAATATATTTGTTTGCACATTAACGTTTTTTAATAAACTTTAGTGTTTGTTTAAAATTTTGACTTGACGCGTTGACCGTCAGTTAAACGGCCAAATTTTCTAAGTTTACAAGTTACAAATTCGATTTTTGGTCTCGGTCGGTTTAAATGTCACGCCACAGTCGAGATCTTCTCGTTACCAAGTCGCAAACAGTCCACCGTACATTTCCTCAAAGTAATAGGATATAATATTATGAGAGAGTGAATTTTCATTAAAATGCGAATGTGTCTTCTCTTGGCCGGAACGTAATAGCATCTTAATTTTCATAATGCCGCGCTTTCCCTCCGGGGAAGAAGACGCGAAGAGACTGTTGCGGGGGGGGGGGGGGGAGGGATTAAATTATCTTATCAAATTAGACAGTTATGTTGTCACCGCATTTGTGTAATTCTGGCTAAGGTTTTCGTAATGGCTGGTGATTTTGTCTACCTACGCACAATAATTGGCCTCGCTCTTAAGCTATGAAAAAATCTACCAGGAAATATTAGTTTTGTAAAGTGAAAAAATCAAGTGTGTAGCAACCACGCCATTTTGCTACAAAACAAATACTCACTGTAAACAACAAACGTGAAATCACTGCAAGACACTACGATATGTGACGTCAAGATATCCTGAATCGCGCTTACGAAAGTATTGCAAAGAATATACATAATATACTAGATAGAATCTGCCTTCATTATCCCCTTCTCAGGGGATGTTCGCATCAGAGGAAGCCTGTAAGGCCCTTATCATCATAGGCATCCCCCCACGGGTATGTTTTAGTCAGTAAGTGTCACCGCACACGGGCTATCGACCAAAACCACAAAACGCCGCCACCGGCATATTTCTTGCAGTTTTTATACATTTTATATGGACTCACGGTACGCCGGTGGCCGCCACACGCTACAAATCGTCGTTGTTCGCTTCTTGTGGCCCACACCGGCCACTTAATGCGCCGATACAAATCGCCGCCACACGTCACTCGCGTGATTCCCCACCCCTCTCTCCCTTACCTTAGTCGGCCGCTGTCGCGCGGCTTCAACCACTTTAGTAGCCGCTTCTAGCTTCTCGTGGCGGCGTTTGTGGCTGTGGCGTGTGGCCCGTTAGCGGCAACACTAAGAGTCTGACATAACCCTACATCCGGCTGTAGGTGTATCCGTAAGGATTTTACAAACGCTACCCCGCCTGGGAGGAAACAACCCAAAATTGAACCTGCACCGTCCCCTTCTTTTTTTCTCCGGAGTCCTGATGAAGCCTTTAAAGGCCTTATTATGGCCTAATTCTGCGTTTTCACTAAAGATCAGAACAGTTTTGAACGAGCAAATATTTGCTCGCTCCTCGGTAAATGGAAAGATCAGTGCGAGCGAACGAATTCGTAAAACGGTGTTTGAATGGACTCAGGGTACGAATGCTCTCTTGTTCCTTTATCAATGGAGACAGCAAAAAATATTCTGAGCATTTCATTTACAGATCGAACATATGCTTGCTCGCTCATAACTGTTCTGAGCAAAGCACTAGGTGGAAACGCAACAGAAGGTAAGAGTGTATTTTAGTCAATAAATCTAAAGCTGCTGGAAATCTGTAGGGAATCCATGATCATTTCACAATCACTTGCCCGCCTGAAAGCAAACAAAATGAATTGTCCTAAGCAGACACCTTTCTAAGTCTCGCCGCACACGGGCCACATGCCACAGCCACAAACGCCGCCACGAGAAGCTAGAAGCGGCTACTAAAGTGGCTGAAGCGCACGACAGCGGCCGACTAAGGTAAGGGAGAGAGGGGTGGGGAATCACGCGAGTGGCGTGTGTGTGGCGGCGTATTGTATCGGCCCATTAAAGTGTCCGGTGCGGGCCACAAGAAGCGAGCAACGACGATTTGTAGCGTGTGGCGGCCACCGGCGTACCGTGTGTGGCGAGTCAAATAAAATGTATGAAAACTACATGAAATATGCCTGTGGCGGCGTTTTGTGGTTGTGGTCGGTGGCCCGTATGCGGCGACACTATGAGATACATTCGTTTCGTCGCAACACATGCCACGACTGGCATCTGAACTCGGGTTCTCGTACTCAAAGCAATAACTCTAACCAATGGTTTGACTGTAAAATTATAATTTATTATCCGCAACTACATGCGCGAGAATTTTAAAAGATGAGCGTTCTAACTTATCTTGTAACTCTATTAAAACGGTAGTTATAAATTTTTCACAAAATGAAGAACATTTTTATCACAAACAATAGCTTTCTAAGAGTCTCAACTAAACAAAAACATGAAAGCTTTCCATGCTTTCACAATTTTATTTGTGTTCGCCAGCAATTTCCAAAGGCTGTATGCAACAAAGACTTTCGTAAACAGACTAGACACAATTTTTAAAGCCCCAACTATCAAGAAATAAGTACCGAGTAACAGGGATGTATTCAGTTTCAATATGGCTGTAGCATTAGTTAGAGTGTTTGAGTGCACTAGTTTGAGTTGAAGATGTATTCCTTGTACTCAGGACTGACAAAACCACTTGATATATATTTAGACTTAGCAACTTCTACCGTACAAAAGACCGCGGTAATAACACTTTCTCTCCTCTAAGTGATGTTTTTTTTTTAATTTCTAGGGCTCCAAGCGTTAGTTTATTCCAGTAAGTTGAAATAAGATTTATATATGTTAAAAGGGTGGTAAACAACCATATGGCCCGCTTGATGGTAAGCGGGCACCATAGCCTAAAGCCGATAGCGATACCAAAAAAAACACTCGCATCGTTGCCTACTCTAATCCAATCCCCTAACCCGTGGAGCCCTGAAAACTTACCGACAGAAATACGATACCACCAGGTAGTGGTATTTCACTGTGATAACTGCAAGGTGGATGTTACTTCCTCAAACAGATGTTTGAATTCGAGCCGACAATCTACGGAGACTGCTTATTAACAAGTATACATAAAAAATTTAACAAGGAAAATCTAAAATCAGTGTTTGTCGAACGTGATTTAATTTATATGTGTCGTATAACTAATTAAGTAGATTTGTTTGAAATCTTCGATATTATCAAGAGCATTATTTATAACGTT